AAATATATATTTATGTTATACATACCTATATGATATTGTGATTAAATACGCGTCCTAAGTAGTAATAGATTAATTGTACAATATAATTAGGGTACCTATTAATTAATATTATTTATGTTAAAGAGGTCAAAGTCGATGCATAAGAATTAATGTATTGTTCATTAGAATATTGTAATAGTTATAACTAATAACACATTTTTTATTAAATAAAGATTTTTAACAAATATAAATTCTTAATAACGGCCAAGTGCCAAACGTAAAAGTGTCCTTGTCATTGTGTCAGTCATTCTTTAAGAAAACAAAAAAAAATTAGGAGAAATTAAACAATATTACCACACATTAAAGAATTCAAACTAAAATTTCCAGATTCTTAAACAGATAACACTAATTAAAATAATTACCTAGTGCAGGTTATCAATGTTCACATCTAAACAAAATATAAAACTAGAGTTAAATAGGTAACTAAAAAAAAAAAAAAATTGAAGGGGGGTGTTGGCGCCCGAAGGCAAGTGCGTTTTAGAATACAAAAAAAAAAAAATAAATTAGAAATTAAATAATAGGACCACACATAGAAGAGTCAAACTATAAAATGTCCAGAATCTTAAACAGGAAAAAAACCATTCAAAATGATTAGTTCATTAAAGAAAGATTATTCATAGGGCCCCTGCAGGTTATCAATGTTCATGTCTATAAAAAAATTTCCACTATAATAAAAATTAAAAAAAAAAAAAAATTGAAGCTGAGAGTTGGCGCCCGCAGACAAATGCGTTTTAGAAAAAAAAAAATTAGAAATTAAACAATAGGACCACACATTAAAGACTTCAAACTAAAATGTCCAGAAACTTAACAGAAAAACTATTCAAAATGATAAGTTAAGGAAATGCTAATATAAACATTCAGTGAAATTTTCATGTACCTATCTACAGTATTCGTTTTTGAATTACAACAAAATAAGGAAATCGCTACATGAGAAATCGAGTGAACATCCAAAATTTGAATTTCAAACGCTCATAAAAATTTAATTTGACTGTCCGGTAGAGATTTTTTTATTGATAAAGGTAGACAAACTTATGAGTAATCTTGTATTAAATTTTCAAATCTTAGATTTAAAAAGAAAAATTTTTACTAATTCTTAACTCAAAATAATTTGCTAATTTTCGTGATTTTTCCATATTTTGTCAATTTTTGAACTTTAAATGCTTATAAAAAAAAATTGTGACTAAGGATTTTTAATATTTTTCATCTGCCTTTGAAACAACATATTAGGAGCCTTCTATTAAATTTTCAAGCTTTCGCAACCAACAAATAAAATTTTATTGATATTTTTAGAAAAAAAACTAAAAAAAAATGAAAAATGAAAATGTCCCTAAACAGTTCAAAATAAATCAAAATATTTTGAAAATGTTATCGTGTATAGAAAATGCAAATATAAACAACCAGTGAAAATTTCATGTATATACGTTCATTTCTTTTAGAGTTACACCAAAAACCAAAATCGATTTTTTGGAAAACCGATTTTGCGTAAAAATTTCCGTTTTTCCTTAATTTTTCTTTTGTTTTTCTTGGCGCTTTTGAAGAGTACTGGGTATTTTAAATTTTGACCTCCCCAATGCACCAACGATATTCACTTTCCAATCGAACAAGATACTGAAGTTGAAAATCGAAGAATTATTTCGACACAGACACAAAAAAAATAAAAAAACCTACATCATCAATACATTCATCGTTTCACTCAGAATCTAAAATTAATATATTTCGGTTTTGTTTTTGTTTTATTATAACAGATATAACTTACAAATTACAATATTATGTATAATAGTCGTCCACACAATAATTGGCGATTCGTCCCAGGAAACGACGTCATGTCATATAATAACAATATACCATAAATCAGCGAGAACTGGATACACTCTATAATTCACTTACCTACCTAAATTACTCAGTACTATATTTAGCCTACACATATTTTACAATTTTACTAGTGGAAGATTGATGATTCAATAGTCTAGTTTCATGGATCGCAACAGAATCAAAAAATATGCATAGAGTACAGTCTGTATAGTATATATACGCATGGTTAGGGTCTTAACATTTCTTGAAATTTATTTCCTTGAAATATTTCATTTTGATGAAAAATAAAAACAAAATGTTTATTATACCTAAAAGTTCATAGATACCTAGTCATCAACTGGTAAACTTCTAAGTGAACATTCAAAGTTTGTTTATTGTATGAAACAAAGAAAATATATAACATAATATCTATTATAATACTAAAGTATTAAATAATGAGTCAAGAGCTCCTTCCCATCACTTAGCACATACACACACGTATTATACGACTTTTGTACACTTAATAATAATTACTGAAAATACACTATTATTTCATTCACTGTTGGAATTGACATTATTTCAAACTATCTTTTGGATCGCTGACGGTCCGCATATAACAATATTTTAAAACTCATGTAAAAATTGTTTTTATTCTCAAAATGATGCCATTAATATTTTTCAGTACTACATAATATGTATAATAATAATACCTATATTATAGAATATACAAATATTAAATAGTAAATCAACAAAAATAATATTTTTTTCTTTATTTCTAAGTGTGTAATCAATATATTGTTTCTAATCATCATTCTAATCATCCGAACACGGTTAAAAGAAAATAAATATTTTTCATAATTTCGTTGAAATATTTCAAGAACAGTGAAATTTTCAATTTTGAAATATTTCAATTGAACAATTTCAAGTGAAATATTTCAAATTCAGAACCCTACACATGGTTTGGTAGTATGTACAAAATACATCAATATTATACTTGAACTAATTAAATGCACATAACTAGAAAATATTCGAAAGAATTCTTATAAAAATATAAAATATATTAACATTATATTTTTCTTATAACAACATTTTTTGTATTATAATATTATGTACAACTGAAAAACATCTGACAACAAAATGACGACGAATTAATATTGTTCGAATTATCAATTTTTCATTATTATTATTTCCTGGATAATAATATTATAATAGAATAAAATAAATGTATTTATGTAGGTACCTACATAGATATTAAAATTTACAAATAATGAGTTTTCTGTAATTGTTTATGTTTTCTACTCAAAGTTCAATATTTGCTCAATATTACTATACCTGAACATTTATTGTGAACAAATAAGTGCAAATGTATTTTTAACTGCTATTATAAAAATACCTATATAAATATAAGAAGCGTTGTATTACATTTTCTCTCTTTTTGATCCAACAAATAATTTTATTGACATTTATAAAAAAAAAAAACTAAAAAAATTGAAAATTGAAAATGACCATTAATAAATTGAAACCAGTCAATACATTTTGAAAATGTTATCAAGTATAGGAATTGATAAAACAAACATAATCTATACTATAAAAGCAAGTCCAGATTTTGTGTCACGGGTTGGCTCCGAAACGGCTTGACCGATTTAGCCGATTCTTTTTTTGTTATGTTTGTAATTGCCAGGACAAAAAGAAAATTTTAGTAAAATCCACCGGAAGAGTAGGAAATCTAGAAGTCAAAAATACAAAAGTCGCGCCATCTGTCCAGGATAAAAATAAACATATTAATAATATATTTTTGTTTATTGTAAGGTTGCTATTGGTTATGAATGTTATAGTTTCAGTTGTTAATTTTGAAGAATTTTATTAAATTATATAAATAGGAAGTCAAATCTTGGCCGCTCCACAAATGGTGCCCAGAGGATGTGCTTATCTAGGAATAATATAGTTGAAGATGAAATTAATATAACATTTCCACTGTATGTTGAATTGAGTTAAAACAAAAAAATTGGTATAACTTTAAATTATACACTTACGTACAAACGGCATAATAATATGAAATAAGCACCAATGGTGCAAAAATTGCATATAATTTGCACCAAAATTAATATTTTATAATTTATATAAATAGTTATTTAAAAATGTTAATCTTATAAAAAATTGTCAATAAATATAATAGAAATTAATAAATTATAATTTTAATAAATAGGTTGATTTTTTCGATCTTTTAAAAATTATCAATAATAAATTGTTTAAATATAATATATAGTTCTAAATGTACTCAATATCTATTAAGCTTGGCCCACAGGTATCTAGGATTTTTGCGCTTTCGTACTATACACAACTTTTTTTTTCTTATCATTTTGACACTTATGTCTTTCACCAGTAAAAAACAGCACGAAGTCCGCGATCTACTGCAGGTAGATTGCCTACCTGATAGTATACTGCTGTGAATCTCAAGGGATAACGCCGGTCGAGATGGCATTTACACTTAAAAAGATATTGTTTCCATATCATATTACACCCAAAAGGAGTTGAACAATCAGAATTTTTTTCCGAGTAACGGAAAAGTTAAGATAAGTTTTTAACAGTTTTACACTGCTCTGCATACAGTTAAATTATACTTCATATAAAAAAAAAAAAAACTTTGCAAGATAGATTTGTGGATCTACGAAACAGCCCCACAATTTGTAAGCAACTATCCACGGGGGCGGAGCACGAGAGTGACAGCTAGTATGATATAAATTTCAAGTGTTTATAATTATTTATTTTTGATATACAACAAAATATGAAAATCGCTACCTGAGATATCGATTAAATATCCAATGTGAGTTATCAAACTCTCTTAAATATTTAATTTGAATTTCTTATAAACATTGTTTTTTGTTAAGAAAGTTAGATAACCTCTGAAGGAATCTTGTATTACATTTTAAAATCCTCGATAGATTGAAGCAACGAATAAATTTATGTTGATATTAATAGAAAAAAAAAACTAAAAAAATTGGAAACTTAATTTGTCCTTAAGGAGCTCAAAATAAGTCAAAATGTCTATTTTAAATAGATATACGTGTAATTATACACGCGTTCAGAGAATTGTATTTTGCAGTTGTAATTAATATTATAATATAAAAAATTCAGACATTACAATATGTGTATAGTATTGATAGAATTTGCTAATTTGTGACTATCGGTTTAAAGCTCAACCAAATACCGTTTTTCGGATTGACGATACTTCCCGCACCTCGTATGTTGAGAGGTACTTCTGTTTTTTCACACGGTAAGACTTCATATTTCAACAATATTTTTGATAGAACCAATTTCATTTCTAGTTCCGCAAACCGTCTACCTATTTGAAAATCGTTATTAAAATACAGTTTATAAGGGCATTACTATTAAAAATGGTAACGGTGCACATTAAATGTTTATAGTTGTACCTATGCACATTCTCGGCCCGTCGCCAAACGGAATGTAAGTGCCATTAAGTCGTTTGGCTTTTTCTTCAGTCGAAAACCTTTCAGGATCAAAAGTGCCGGGATTGGGGTAATATTTCGGGTCATTATGTATGGAATACGTTGGTATGATGATCTTTTGTCCTTTTTCAATGACCAACGACTGACCGGGTACTTCGTAATTCTTCGTCGCTTGTCTGAATAAGATCATGGTGATGGAATACATGCGCGAGATTTCTAAAATATAAATAATTATTTATTATTATTACCTAGTATTCAAGATTTTTACCAGGGCTTGAAACCGGTTTCAAAACCGATTTCAGAAATCGGTATGAACCGTTAAAAAAACAAAATCAAAACAGAAACAAAAAAAAATTGGATACTGGTATTATTAATCAAAACTGAAACCGGTGTACAAGATCAAAACCAAAACCGAAATTTCTCAATAACGGTATTAAAAATTTGAAACTAAAATCCAATGAATTTAAAACCCGTATACAAAATAGAAACAGAATTTAACAATGTATTTAACAAGTTGTTAAAAAACAACGATTTTATTAAAAAATTATATTTTTTATCCTTATCATTTTGTTGAGATTTTTCCTTTTTTGAATGGCAGTATAGAGTTTTAATTTCATATTCCAAAGCAAAATATTTGTCTAAGTATTTTGATTCATAAAAATAGAATTTTGGACGAGTAGTTTATGGGTTATAAGTAGGGTTCGGATTTGAAGGCAAATGCCTTTCTTTTATTAATCATAATAGAAAAATAATTTTTATACAAAAATGTGTTTCATTTAATTTCTTAGAGGATGGATATTTTTTTTTGTCTTTTTACCTTTAAATGCCTTTTTGCCTTTTTTTACCTTTTGTATTTATAAATGCCTATTTTGTGTTTAATTTTTCAGTTGATTTTATAATTTTATACACAGCTTTCGTATTATCGTTACAAATGGGTTTTATTCTTCGCAATATTTATCGATATCGTCTTATCGAGTATTTGGTATGGCCATAAAATTACCCGTACACCTATTTAAAGATTAAGATATGTTCGTAATGCGTAGATTCAAGATAGTTCGTCAGTCCGCCCGCGTTTGTCGATCGCAATAATTGTCGTTCAATAATTTTTCCACGCGTTTCACTATTTTATTTTGTAGTATATTTATGAATTGCCTTTTTATATAAATTAAATGCCTTTTTTTACATTTTAAATGCTTTTTTTATTGATTATAATTTATATTGCCTTCAAATCTGAACCCTAGTTATAAGTATTTAAAGGTTAGACAAGTGGAGTAGTGGACAATCATTTTGCGGGGTATCCCCATACCACTCCACTCTTCCCATCAAAACTTTAAATACTTTTAAGTTATAACTCATAAACTACTCGCCATAAATTCGGTTTTTATGAATCAAAATACTTAGAGAAATATTCTGCTTTGGAATATGAAATTAAAACTCTAGCTGTCATTTAAAAAAGTAAAAAACTTAACAAAATTATAAGGATGAAAAATATTTAAAAATATAATTTCTTAATAAAAACGTTGTTTTTTTAACAACTTGAAACTATGTAAAAAAATATTTTCAAAAACACTACTTAATACTGTTTGAGATAATGATTGTTTTACGCTTAAGAATTAGGTACTCTGTATATATTATTATTCATTACCCTCCAAAACCATATTCATGTAATGGAGATTGGTCAAATAGTCGTTGTTCAGCTGTCCACCGTGTTTCGCATTTGTCGTTACTATCTCTTCGCGCAGTTTGTCTTGGATGTCTTTGTTTAATGCCAAATGGTACAAACAAAAGCATGTCGTGATAGAGACTGTTTCGGCACCAGCGACAAACATCAGTATCGCGTTTGCGACTATGTCCATTTCGGTCCACTTGTCTGTGAAATAAAATCTGATTAATTAACATAATAAGTATTATATAATAATATGTTAATCATTGTGAGTAGGTATCTATTTCATAATAATATTATATTTCATTATAACAACAATATAAGTAGTGTCTTAAAAAATTGCTCGTGGCATGAGGTATTATTATTTATTATTAATTATTATTATTATTATGATATATTATATATATTACGCTGTAAATATACTTTCGGATGTCGAGTCGTCTGCGTCGTTATTTGTCACTAAATCTTTCTTGGCCTGTATCAGGGTTTGCGTGACGTCGTTCCTGATGACTTTGTTCCTTTCCCTATACTCGAGGACGTCCCTGAACATGGATCCATAAAAATCAGCGGCGTCGTCCGGAAACTGTTTCAGCTTAAGCAACAACACCAGTTTTGGACAAAACAACAGCATAGCCTGGATTAAGAGCTGTTTGAAGTCCGACTGAAATATTTTCTTGCCGAACTTGCGGAAGTCCTGATTTTTGTTTTTTATTGTGTCCAATTTCAGACCGAAAGCCGACATGCCGATGACATCCATCGAGAAGTTTCCAACCAACTCTCGTATTTCGAAGTGATCGCTAACTTTCAGATTGTCGTCGATGATGTCAAGTAGCTGGTCGGTGCACTCCTTGATTTGGTCATGCGTGTCCTTCAGTTTGCCCGAGGTGAACCCGGGGCTGAGCTTCTGCCTCATCGTTCTCCACCGATCGCCATTCAACAAGAACAGGCTGTTGGCCAAGATGTTCACCGATGGGTCAGTATCGATACCGTGGTCTGTAAAGTACGAGAAATCTCTGACCATTATGTTGTTGATCAGCTCCGGATCACGGATCATCAAGAACGGCGTGGTCATCTGAAAGAAACCGCAAAGCTTTTCGTCCGGGAAACGGTTGTAAAGACCGCTGAAAAAGTCCATCGGGTGCTCCCTGGCCAAGACCAGGTTCATCGAGTTGCCAAACAGCGGTAAGGGGTTTGTGTGGGGCACGTTCAGTTTGCGCCATTTGTCGTGGGTGGACGTCATAAAGTAGTAGGCGATCGACAGAAAGACTGCCGCGTACAATACGTACACGGAGCTTAACAGTCCGATGACCGAACACGAAATAACGTCAATCATGTTGTAACGAAATCACGTGGATATATAAATATTTTCGTTGTAATTATATTGTTATTATTTAAAAACGGAAAGAGATTTCCAAAACATTCGTGTGCTAATTTATATATTCTAGTGAGCAGTTTCAACTGTATTCCGTCTTATTATATACCCCAGTACTTGAAATAGGTTTAAAGTGGTTACTGTTTGCTATCAATTATAGTGGGCATAAAGTCAACAACGATTGGTGGGATAGGTCGACAAGGTGAACGAGTTGTTGTTGACTTCTGCCTACTCATTGAATATAATAAATATTTGTAGTTGAATACAACAATAAACTTACTATGAGATTGACTGTGAGTTCTTACAGGTACTTGAAAAATGTGTATAAAAATAATTAAAAATATCGATAAAGGAACCGGATCTAACCTAACCAGTAATTTTCAAAAGCGCCGTGAAAAACAAAAGAAAAATTAAAAAAACGGGAATTTTTCTCAAAATCGATATTTCATAAAATCGACTTTGGTTTTTGGTGTAACTTTAAAACAAATGACCGTGGATACATGCAATTTTAACTGGTTGTTTAAATTAGAATTTTCTTTACATGATAAAATTTTCAAAATATTTTGAATTGTTTTGAAATGTTAAGGGACATTTTCAGGTTCCAATTTTATTAGTGTTTTTTTCTAAGAATGTCAATAAAACTTTATTTGTTGAGTAAAAATACTTGACAATTTAATACAAGGCTCCTAATATATTAATACAATGACATTTGAAAAATATTAAAAATTCTTAGTCATAGTTTTTTTTTTATAAGCATTTAAAGTTAAAAAATTGACAAAATATGGAAAAATCACGAAAATTAGCAAGTTATTTTGAGTTAAGAATTCGTAAAAATTTTTCTTTTTAAATCTAAGATTTTAAAATGTAATACAAGATTCCTTACAAGATTATCTACCTTCATCAAAAAAAAAAAAAATGTGTATATGAAAGTCAAATTAAATTTTTATGAGAGTTTGAAATTCATATTTTCACAATAACAATAAAGTTTTATCTGTTGGGACAAAAAGTGTAAAAATTTAATACAAGGCTAATGATAATATATTGTTACAATAGCAGTTGAAAAATATTAAAAATAAATGAGCACAATTTTTTTTTATAAGCATTTAAAGATCGATTTTTGACAAAATGTATCAAATTTAAAATTGAATAATTATTTTGTAGATAAAAATTTATAAAATTTTCAAATTTTATATCTAAGGATTGAGAATTTAAAATAAGATTCCAAGATGTAGTTAATTCTGTTACCAAAAAATCTAAAAAATACATAAGCAAAGTTTATTTTTATAGTCATTTTAAGTTCAACTTTGGATAAAATTACATTAAAAAAACCTAGAATAACTATTTTAGTAATTTTGTTGTGATTGTATAATATTATTCATGGGTACTTGAAACTTCTAAAGTATACCACTATATATCTATGATAGTATCACTGTTTGTTATTTATATATAATGCGTTATAAGTAGGTACCTAATGGATATTGTGATATGATTAATTTTGAATTTATTATAGGTACCTATTATATAGGTCAATTTTTTTTTTTAATACCATAGATAAGTATATAATATGTCTTATACCTGGACTGACATACCGCCTCAGCTCAGAATCATCGTTGTTCTTATACAATAATATTATATCATTGAATTCAAATTTAATACCATCCATTATACAGGGACCCACTTGTAACCTATAGTGTACAGCAGAACGACATCCACTTACCCACCTTTTTCTTTAATATGTGTTCAAACATAAATGAGTGGTGTTCTAGAATCTAGATAAAAAAAAAAAATGTTTTTGTGCCGGTGCATGCTCATCAATGCTTGCCATTTATATCGAATGTTCGATCGTAACAATATTGTCGAATTATTTTCTAAATAATATAAATAAGTGGGTCGATAGTTATATGCAATAATTCGTATAGTAAAACAACGGTAAACGACGTCATATTCTTCGTCGAAAACAATTATTGTTGGTTGTTACCGATAACGATATTACTATCAACCATCATTAATAATATGTTTAGACTTAGTAAGAGTGCAACGGCATGTCATCGGCATGTAAATTGTTATTATACTTAACAAAAATAAAAGTACCTACTCGAGATTTTAGTAGATAATTGTAGACTCATTTTCTACAAGTTTAAAAATAGAAGGATTATTTAATAATCAAAAGTTTATGGTGCCGTTTATTTATTTGGGGGGGGGCCCAAATATCACAAAATATTCCACCCAAACACCACCATATACCTACACCCGTCCCTGGATCTATACTCGATCATCCAATTGACCAATTTGTCTTTTGCCATTTTTTGAAGGTTAATTCTCAGGGTGATCGTAAGATCTTCCAACATAAATCTATATATGTATAAAAATGAATGTTTGTTTGTCTGTAGTGTGTGTCATGTATGCACAGTGGAGTGGTGAAGGGGGTCTAGAGGAGCAATTGCTCCTTCAAATTTTGGGTGGGTGGGTGGTTATAAGATAATGGGTATTAATTTTTAGCATACATATGTACATAATATACTATAGAATTAATAAATTACTAATGTAAAACAAGGATGGCAATAGTGGGTACAGCTCTGCTGTTCATTAAATGTCAAATGGGTAATTTTAATAGATGTATAAAATCATTGTACACGAAAACCAAACCTGAACTAAAATGCCTATAGGCTATAAGTATTAATATAAGTATATTTTATAATATTGCTATTAAAGTAATTTTACTGACAAGTGACAGTATGTTAAAAATTTACTTTGTCTAAAACATTTTATTTGTTGCCTACCTACTTCAAAAGTTTTATGTACCTACGAATAATATTTTTAAATTACAAAAAAATAATTAAAAAAGTTACTTTTCGTTTAGGTACATATCTAATTTTGTTCAAATTTTAACTTAAAATGTTTATAAAAAAAAATATGTGAATATATTTTTAGAGATTTGGGTTACAATATCAACTACTTATGAATAACTATGTTTTAATTTTTCAATCTTTAACTAAAAAAATTATCATTTTATACATTTTTAACTACAATATAATTTGCAATTTTTCGACAATTCTTTTCTTTACTTAAATTTGAAAATGTTTTATTAATTTCTAACTGAAAAGTAATTTGCAAATTTTCGAGACTGATGAATTTCCTAAGACAAATTATGAATCTCTGGTTATTATTTCATTATTAATCGATTTTGTTGAAAATTGGCCTTGAGTAAAAATTTTCATTTCAGATTCCGAGTGGAGCGATGAATGTATTGATTTTACAATGATGTGTGTGTTTTTTTTTTAAATTTTAAAATTTTTTTTCGTATCTGTCATTACCCTTTAGGATAGTAAAAATGCTTAGATTTTCTTCAACAGTACCTTTTCGAAAGAGCAGCGAAAAAGAAAAGAACAATTAAGGTAAACGTGAATAGATTTTGGTTTTTGGTAGGTATAACTCTATAATACAAATTACCGTAGATACATGCTATTTTCAGTGGTTGTTTATATTATAATTAACTATACACGATACAATTTTTAAAAAATATTGATTTGTTTTGAACTGTTTAGGGACATTTTCAGTTTCCAATTTTTTTAGTTTTTTTTTCTATGAATGTCAATAAAATTGTTATTGTTGGGTAAAAACTTTTTAAAAAATTTAATACAATACAAGACTCATCTTAATAGATTGTTACAATGACATTTGTGAAATATTAAAAATCCATAGTCAGAATTTTTATTTATAAGCATTTAAAGTTTGAATTTTGACAAAAGGCGTAAAAATCACGAAAATGTGCAAATTATTTTGAGTTAAAAATTCCTAAAAAAATTTCTTTTAAAAAGATTTTAAAATGTAATACAAGATTCCTCATAAGTTTGCCTACCTTTATCAAAAAAGAAATGTCTACAAGCAAATGAAATTAAGTTTTTACGAACGTTTGAAGTTCATATTTTTTACATCATTTTATATTCACTCTATTTCTTATGTATGTGCCTGCAATTTTTTTATTTTGTTGTAATTCAAAAACGAAGTATCGTAGATTCTTGAAATTTAGATCATATGTTTATTCTATGAATTACTTTACTTGATAAAATTTTTAAAATATTTTGACCTTTTTTGAGATGTTTACGGGCAATTTAAAATTACATTTTTTTTTTTTTTATATAAATTTCAACAAAATTTTATTTGTCTTGCCAAAAAGCGTCAACATTAATTATTACAAGGCTCCTGATATATTGATCAATTAGCAGTATAAAAATACATTGGCACAATTTTTTTTATAAGCATTTAAAGTTTAATTTTAGATAACATTCATAAAATTTTAAATTTTCATAAAGTTTTTTAGTATAAATGTATAAAATGTTCAACTTTTATAGCTAAATATTGAAAACTTAAAACAACGTTTCACGTAAGTTGGTTATTAAGTAATAAAAAAAATCCCAAAAATATAGAACTATAGTTATTTTATGTTCAAATTTTGAGGAAATTACATATTAAATAACCAAGAATAACGATTGTAGTTATTTTGTTGTAATGTTTTAATATTAATAGGTAATATAAATAAAATGATTTACTTAATATGACTATGTAAGTATATAGTTCTTTGTTATGGTAATGTTTACTATATTTTATAGTTTAATGCAGTTTTTAATGTTTGAATTAACTAAAATATATAGTTAAAACAGCACATTTCAGTTCGAATAACCATAATAACTTGACTATGATATTTTAGTAAATCTGACTAACCCTATAACAATTATAATGTACAGTTAATCCAACTAGTACAAACAAAGATTTGGTTTTTTCCGTGTACACTGATGCATTTTTGTATTTATGGGACGGTGGCCCATATACGTATAAGTTATATTATGATATATTTTAATATTTACACACAATATTATCAATACTTTCTAAAAATGTATTAATCCAAAAAAAGTAAAGAGTAATTTAGTAATAATTACTACGCATAAGTAACTTAAGCTACA